TCAGAATTAGCATAAGTTGCTACACCACTCCAAAAGTAACCCTGTAAATAAAAGATCAAGTGAAAGAAAGACCGAGTTCACCACTTTGAAGTCAAATGAAGATTGCATCAACATTCATGCATTCATAAGAACATCATTTGCACAATAGACAATTCATTACATCGATACATTTGATTGCATTCAAACATGAAGTTTTACATATCTTCGTATGAAAAAGAAGATTCATAATGGAAAATACCTTACAAAAAGAAGATAGAATTCAAAACCTCAAATACAGGAATCACGCAAACATCTGAAGAATAGATGGTTGCAATCCATAAAAGAAGCATTATTTTGAAATAGTGCATGTTACCCAATCAACAAGTTATTTCAATGAGAAAACGATTTCCAAAATTTCTCATTTAATCTTTTCTGAAAATGAAATTGTTGAATAGTAAGAAAACGATTTTCAAAGTTTCTTACTTAGTAAACTATTTCCTACATCTGTAAGTCCTTCAGTGCATGATGTTTTTAAAACCTTCGGGTCATCCATAAGACCTACAGTGCAGGATGTTTTCAAAAAGCCTTCGGGAGCTTTTTGATGTTTTCAAAACCTTCGGGTCATCTATAAGACATACAGTGCAGGTTGTTTTCAAAAAGCCTTCGGGAGCTTTTTGATGTTTTCAAAACCTTCGAGTCATCTGTAAGCCCTTAAGTGCATGATGTTTTCAAAACCTTCGGGTCATCTGTAAGCCCTTCAGTGCATGATGTTTTCAAAACCTTCGGGTCATCTGTAAGCCCTTCAGTAAATGATGTTTTCAAAACCTTCGGGTCATCTGTAAGCCCTTTAGTGCATGATGTTTTCAAAACCTTCAGGTCATCTGTAAGCCCTTCAGTGCATGATGTTTTCAAAACCTTCGGGTCATCTGTAAGCCCTTTAGTGCATGATGTTTTCAAAATATTCGGGTCATCTGTAAGACCTTCAGTGCATGATTTTTTAAAGCCTCAAGGTCATCTGTAAGACCTACAGTGCAAGATGATAAGATCTCAGGGCCATCCATAAGACCTCCAGTGCAGGATATTTTCAAATGAGATTTTAAGAAATTGGTTTTCAAAGGTTTCTTGATCTTAAATCCTTCGGATCATCTGTAAGACCTACAGTGCAAGATGATGAGACCTCAGGGCCATTTTTAAGACATAAGAGCATAATGTTTTCAAAATTTCCATCCTACTCAAAAGAAGCCAAATGGAAAAATTATTGTCTTTTTTCATCTTTGCTTTATTCTTGTTAACACAAGAATGAGCAAAGAGGGGCAGCTGTAGACATCAATTTTTCCATTCTAAAATTATTATTATTATTATATTATTATTATTATAATTATTACTTTATAATTAATATTATTATTTATTAATTATTATTATTATTAAATAAATATAATTACAAATATTGTTACAAGCCCACAAATACATCGGAGGCCCAGAGTCCTCAAGCCCATTTACAAACCCGACCCATTTACAAGATCCCGGAGCCCAGTTCAGGCCCAAGTGGAGACTCAACCCTGATACAGAAGAAACCCTAGGGTTTCACACATCTCATCCCAGCCGCCATCCACCATCAGCCGTTGGATCTGGCAAGATCCAACAGTCCAGAGATATCCAACAAGAAACCCTAGGGTTATGATACCCTAGGGACCACGCGCCGCCGCCTCTGTTGCCACCATCTGCTGTCGACGTTCTACACTGCCACGACGCCCGTCGAAGCTCCCAGAAGAGTCATTTTAGCCGTCCACGCATCCCATTCTTCGGTGAGTCACCACAGGTTCGGTGACTCGCCAAAACTCATCTTTGGGACTGGTCCGAGAGCATCCTCGATGGTGGCTTATAGCCACCACACCTGTGAAACCAAGACAAATCGACAGCAAACGAAACAGAAAGAAGATAACAACCAAACAACAACCATAACCGGCAACAATCAAAACCCACAACAGAAAAACAAACCAAAAAAAGAGAAGCACTTACCGAGGAAAGAGCACGACCATCGGAACCTACATGAGCCACCAAGGAAACCGAAATATAGAACGTATTTCCGTAGATCTTGGTAATTTAGAAGCATTTTAGGGGAAAATGAGGTTAGAATCGGTCTTAGAGTGTTCACAGCTTAATTTTGGGGTAATTTGGGAATTTTTGGCCACCGTCGCGCCGAAAATGGTGGCCGATTTTCTTCTCCGACGACGAAAAATGAGAGCTTCTCTCTATAAAGAGAGAGAAGCAAAACCAGAAAAATGAAATAATGGCCCTTAGGGCCGGTTTAAAAGGGTTTAAATACCCTCCCCATACGACGTTTTTTTGGGGGAGGAGTGTCTCTGTAATTTTCCTTTTGGGAAAATCATCTCCGCATCCATTCAAAATTCGTAAACTTCCATTTTAGTCACTAGAATTACATTTCTGCATATATTAATTTTGTCTTCTATTTTTGTTTTATTTATAATTTAATCATTGCCTATTTATTTATATATTTAGGGTAAATATCACATTTAGTCCTTCAAATTTTGATAACATTTATTTTAACCCGAATAATTAATATTAAGGCTAAATTACACTATTAGTACATATCTTTTTAATAATTCAAATTAGGATCTTTAGGTTTTATATTTTATATTTTAGTTACTGATTTTTTAATAATTTTCATTTTAGTCTATTAATTTACATATTTTGTATTTTAATACTATAGTTTTAATTTTATTTATTTTAGTCACTGTTTAATTATATTTAATTTTATTCTTTAAATTTCAATATTTTAATTATTATTTTATTTCAGTCATATTAATATATATTATTTGATTAATTTTGTAAATTAATAATATTTATTTATTTTTAAATATTAAGAAAGAGGTTGTCTTAAAGCAACTAGAAGTCATTTTCTGATATTTTTAAATAAATAAATATCATACTTTTATAAATTATATATATTAATTTATTTTAATTTTTTAAGAAATGTCTTATTAATATTTATTTATTTATTAATATTAAATAAATGAGTTGTCTTAAAGCAACTAGAAGTCTTATTCTGATATTTGTAAATAAATAAATACCTTATTTATAATTTATAAAAATTATTTTAATATTTTTCTTCCTTATTGTCCAATTGAATAAAAACAACATCGTAAATTAAATTTATATTCGAATTCTTAAAATTCTATTGTTAGAGACAATTTATAATCGACAAAGACCAATTTTTGGCGTTGTAGAGGTGCTAATCCTTCCCCAAACGTAATCGACCACGAATCTTTTTTTATTATTAAAAAGAATGAATTTTTTGTTAAACGCATATCAATTATCTTTTAACTGATGTTTTCTTAAAATCTATTTTAAAAGATGATTTTAGGTATTCGACCTACCTGACATAAAAGACCGATGACGACTCCTAAAACATTTTAAAAACTATTTATTCACATCACTTTTCTCGTCAAATAAAAATTTTATGCCCGAACAAAAATCAGTTACGACGAGAGGTGACACCAAAAATCTTTGGTTGAAATATCATCAAGCTTCTTTAGTTTTCTTCAAACCTTTCGTACAGTTCTCGTTTTTGCTTGAACAAAAAGATTGTGGGTTGTACTCATTTTGTTTAAAAAGCTTGTCAATGTGTCAGAATCTTGATACGAAGCGCCGAAAGCAATCGAAAACCAGTTGCTTTATCAGGCTACAATTGCTGGCAACGTGGATGACATCAAAGCTCTTTGCAGAGAAAAGCTTAATCTCCATTGCTTATTTTTATTTCAATAAACAAACTCTAATACAACTGGATTCAGTGCTTCCATTGCTTAATCTCCATCAGCTCCACCAATTCCTGATGATCTTTTAGTCGAAGAACCAAGTCGGTATCCCCGAGTTTATCTCAATCCACAGCATTTGCCTGCTCCAACGACAACAGATTATGGAGCCTCGACAACAAATGATGCTAAAGCAGATAATTCTTCCTCTTGTATAATAAGTTGGGAAGCTAAAAGGGTATCGAAGGCGCACGTTAGTCTGGCTATCCTGAGCCGAGCAGTGACAGATGTATGTGTTCTCTAGGGTGGGCTTAGGTGGGCTAGGGTGGGCACGTATATAAGGATAGACATAGGTCGGGTCAGGTTGAATTTTCGATCCATCAGACTCGACTTGAATTCGACTCAAAAAATATAAATTTGATCTTTTAATATAAAACTTTAACTTGACCTGATCTTAAATAATATATTTATTAAAAAATATTATTTTTATTTAATAAGAATATGGATTTAATTTAAAAATAATATATAGAATGATATTATTACAATTATCTCGAAATATATAAGATAAAATTATAATTTTTTAGGTCGAATCAGGTATTTTTTAACTTAAATTTGAAACCCAACATAACTTCAAAAAAAACCCGACCCAAACTTTATTTTTTTTAAAATCTAACCCGATCAAATAAGATCGAATTGAAACTTATTAAGTTCGAGTCTCATGCCTATACCTACACGTATCCAATTTAAAATTTAAATTTTTTATATTAATGATTCATTATTAATGATGATATATATTTTAAAATATTATTTATATTCGTTCTATAATAAAAATTATGTTATTAATATATATATTTGTTTATTTAAAAAATGATATTTCTAATTCCATCCCTTAAAATAATAACAACAAATCTCTATTCCTATATGCAATGAGATAAGGAGAGGTAGGGTAGTAGGTTATCTCTAACATCAGGTTGAGAGAAATTTTCATAAAAGACCTCCAACAATAAAAAAAAATTAAAAATAAAGATAAAAATACAATATATATAAAAATAATAATAAATAAATAAATAAATAGTTGAACTGTCTTCCTTAATATTTAAGTCTATTATGAAAAGTAAATCCCCACTGTAGAGAATCCCATATCCCTCAACTACTTACAAAATATATATTTACCGCGAGAAATCAACTGTCAAAAATTAGGCGCGCATTCTTTCTATAGTAGCAAACATTACATCTCCAACACAAAAGAAATAATCAGATCTGAGAACACCGACAGACCATGGGATCGCTTCCTCCGTCACTGGACCTCCCATCTCCACCGTCGGAGAAGCAACAAATTTCCGAAACTACCCTTCTCGACCTCTTCAAATTCCAACAGAACCACCTCAATTACTTCTTCCAAAACCTTGACTTGTCCTAAGCATTGTCCTTCACCCAAAACTCCTCAATTCCCGTGGCACCATTTTCTTCTCCGGAGTCGAAAAATCGGGATTTTTCGCCAACAAGATCTCCCAAACCCTAGTTTCCTCGGCATACGCTCCTCTTTCCTCTCCCCTCTCGACGCCCTCCACGGTGACATCGGCGCAATCTCATCCGCCGACGTCCTCGTCCTCTTCTCGAAATCCGGCTCCACCGAAGAACTCCTCTGTCTGTTTCCCTCTGTTAGAGCCAAGGGGGCTTATCTCATTTCGGTTACCTCCGTTTCCAACAATGCATTGTCCAATGCTTGCGATTTGAATATGCATTTTCCGTTGGAGAGGGAGTTGTGTCCGTTCAATCTGGCGCCGGTGACTTCGACTGCGATCCAGATGGTATTTGGGGACACCGTGGCTATTGCGCTTATGGGGGCTAGGAACTTGACTAAGGAGCAATACGCTGCGAATCATCCCGCTGGGAGGATTGGGAAAAGCCTATTTTCAAGGTTTATTTTTATTTTATTATTAAATACTCCTCTGAAATCAGATTTTTGATCAATTCAGTAATTGCTTCTGAACTTGAGGTACTTTTATAGTAGTGGGTTTTTAATGAATTTTGATAAAGTTGATCCCTCTCAATTGTTTGTGATCTGGCTTGTAGTTGAAAGATCCAAAAAGATTGTTATTTTTGCTTGCTATTATAATTGGTTGATATAAGAAGCAGTAGAATGGCGAAAACTAAAAAAGAAAATTAAATATGTTTGTTGTAGTAATTTTGATGGATTGTAACAAGCTTCAACTTCCAGGATCATGTCATTGTCAACGGAGATTGGTGGACATTAGAAACTGAAATTTCTTCTCTTTTTTAATATTTTCTTTTTTGCTTGACTTTTGCATTGGCTTCTTCATTTCTTAATTGGGTAATGTGGAGGCAACTTGAAGGTCAAGAAAAGAATTGTTTTTTAATAAAAATTCTTGGACCTATAGTAATTTCTTAATTGAGGCTTTTGTGTTTGTAGGTAAAAGATGTGATGAAGAAGCGGGATGAACTTCCAATTTGCAAGGAAGGATATTTCATAATGGACCAGCTGGTGGAGCTGACTAGTAAAGGATGCGGATGCTTGCTGGTTATAACGATGAATATCACTTGCTCGGCACATTTACGGATGGAGATTTGCGGCGTACTCTTAAGGCCAGTCGAGAAGCCATATTCAAGCTCACTGTTGGAAAATGTGCAACAGGTAAATTCAAATGGGCATTTTCAAATCAGTTGTAGCAAATTGTGAAGTTTTCTGATTACCAGAAGACCTTGTTTTCAATCAAGTCACTCATATAGTACCATTTTGGTTTATAATAGGGAACCGAGTCCAGAGGCAGTGGCTATGGAAGCCATGCAAAAGATGGAGTCACCGCCTTCCCCTGTACAATTTCTAACTGTTATTGATCATCAGAAACTTGATTGGTATTGTCACATTGCATGGATTAGTTTCGGCTGGCCTTTGAAATATGAATGGAGTTGTCTTATATTTGGTCTTGAATATTATACCTTGACATAATTCTTTTACATGTGTTAACTAAAATTTTAGTCCAAACATGACATTATGTCATATAGTTTTGCTCAAGACTTGTAAAGAACAATTATATCTTTGCTTTGCTTAATTTCACAATGACCAGTGTTGAATACAAAAAATAAATAAACCCTAAACTAAACACTCACGAATCTTATACTTTGAGTTGATCACACCACCATTACAAATGGTTATCCTTTTTTACCATGAAGTATTCTATCTTTCATGAGAAACCATACTTCTTATCAGCCCCGAATTTCGTGTTCCCAACATCGGAAGCTACCTCATGAAGATGATGACCTCCCAAGCTGTTGTTTTCTTCCATGTCCCACAAGAAGTTGTCGTAGCCATCATAGACTTTGGAGGTAACTTCATTGCTGTTGTTTTCCTGATGAAATTATATGAATGGTTTAGCAAGCACTGGGCATGGCTTTGATAGGTAGGTATGGTGGAAGAGCTTATGGTTGATATGTTGTTTGGTAGGTTAAAGGGGTGTAATTTGACGAGGTCTCCAACATGATTGGGGAGCTCAGTTTGTGGTGTTCTCTTCTTTGCTCTTATGAAACACTCTACATAAAACCCACTCTTCCTATACAGACATACATGCATACATATAGTTAGTCATTTACATACACATACATACATATGTTAGTCATTTACATACGTCATATATGCATACATATAGTTAGTCATTATACATAAGAGAAATTAACTGACCTTAGGAGGCATATGTGGAGTGTGGAGCCGAAATTCATGCATTATCCATCCTGTTTTGATTCCATTAGGAGCTCGGTTTCCATAAAATACCAATGTCTTTCTCATCCCTACGACTGTCTCTGTTCTTGGATCCACCACCACTCGATCTTTCCCTGTTGCTTTCCAGTAACCTGATATTGTTGCCCTATTCGTCGAATCCCGTCGCATATTTTCGATCTCGAAAGCTAAAGAAATACCACTCATTTGCATTCAGCTTTGCCACCTCTTTAATTTAATCCAGAAAAGAAAAAGTCCACAGTTAATCACATGCATACAGGTTATGCTTCACTTTTCTTATAGTCGACATAAAAAATACATATTTTCGTTAATTCTCCTTGAATTGCTGAGAGTGTTGGTAAGTCTTTGTCACCACCTGATTTGTGTCTAAGAATTACATGCTATGCCAATATCTTTTGTGTAAATATATATTAATGGTGTACCTATAAGGTACATCACATTTTTAACGAGAAAATTTAAGTCGATCGTAAATTTTGAACATAGACAATAAAACATAAAGTTACCAAAAAGAAATCTTTTAGACAAAATAAATAACCAACAATTACGTATAAAATCCTCTTTGTTGTTAGGTTTTATATTTAGAAAAAAACTCATCTCATAAACTTATAAAAAAACAACAAAAACAAGAACCATCACATGTCAATAAAATAATTAGGTAGGAAAATAGAATAGGTTTCTACTTATAGGTCACATGTTAAGAGTCCAAGGCCACACGCAAAACATTTAGAGATTGTCTTATGTATCTTTCTCTTTTATTCTCTCAAGTAATTCAATTACCTTGCACATGATATTGTAATGATCTTGCTTATGTATAATATTAGGACTTACCATTTTGGCTATACATGGACAAAGATACTCTTAATTTGGAAAGTACACGAGCTAGCACAAAGAGGAAAAGGTTGATGGTGGGCAAATATTAGGTATCGTGTGTAGGAATAACATGGTATATCTTCACATATCCTATTTTTAAAAGGAAATACTATGTTGTAAAAAAATAAAATAAAAGATAAAAGTTATGTAGGGGACAAACACAAAAATTTTATATCAAGAGACGAATTTATGGAGATATAAGTAAAGATAATTTTACCTATATAATACTCATAGATGCAAGATTAATGTATTGAAAAGGTTTTGAATAGTGAATTTTGAGTCTTTAGAATTATTCGATCGGACTCAACTTCAAAAATCGATGTCTACTGATGTCGAGATTGATTATTGGATTATTCAAACACACCAACATACAAACATACACATATACTTATATGCATAAACTAACATGACAAGAGACAATTTCATTTTGTTCAGATATCATATGAATTCAATAATTTTCATCTTTTTTTTCTGGTTTGTATTAAAAAAAACAGCAGCAGCTACCGGACCTTAAAATTTTTTTCTTTAGGTTTAGTGGAACAGTAAATTTTGGCGAAAACCCCATCAGACTCAGGTAAATATAGAACGCAATGAAACAAAATAAAGGAAAGAGAGAGATACCAGGGAGCTGCCATGGCTCACATGTATGCAAATCAATATCCACCAAAGTACCCTTCAGAACATGCTCATTCACAATCTTTTTGTAAAGATAATGACACACCAACTCCTCGTCGCTCGGATAAAACCTAAACCCAGGCGGCAGTGTTGCCCCTATGTCCCTTAGCCCCATTCAACCTAACAAAGAAGAATATATCAGAAAAGTTCTTATGAATGAAGTGAAGGAAGATATATGATTATGATTTGCTTTGTTTAAGGGACTTGGCAATATATAGAAGTATATCGAATAGGAACGTGTATGTATATATATATATATTCTGTGTATATACATAAAGGACAAGATTAGGATGAAAATCAAGTGCCTTTGCTTCTTACGATATATTCTACCATATATGTATATAGGGACCATGCTTGTGTGACTAGTTAGTTATTATTGGGAAGTAATAAGAAAAACTAAAGTTACAAGAAATCTTTTCTATTGTGGATATACATTGGACAGTTTTATTAGATAAACAGTTGTCAATTTATGTAAAATTAATTGAGGAATCTACTTATTTTAATTTATAACTAATTTAATTTTATATATTTCTGTAATTTTTTTATATATTTAACATTCACATGAAGAATCATTCAAACCACCTATCAAGCAATCCCGGTATTTAAAAAAAATATTCTTATTAGAGATTCAAATTCGGGTAATTATGTCTGTAAGTGTGAAAATAAACATTAATTAAGAAAGGAGAGGAAACTAATAGAAGGAAAAAGTTTATATAATGTTTTCAATGGCCTAAGAAAGTAGAGGTTAAACTTTGTTGTTGATATTTTAGAAATCAAAGTTTGATTTATAAAAAATGTTTCATGATAGCATAAAAAAATTAAACTTTAAATTAATTCTGTTGATGTAATATTCTTCTCGAATGTAATTTGATTTAATTCTTTTAGATATAATAATATTTAGAGAAATGTATTACCGACAAGCTGATATTGCCCTTTCTGCTTTTATGAGGAACTGGAATGAGTGAATAACTTGCCTATAAGTTGGCTACCTATTGAGATGAAAGGTCATTTTTGCCACTAGACATTTGTTATTATAATTGTTATATTGATAGTTTATATTATATGGATTATTATTCGATTCATAAATTATGTATATTTTATTTTATTTATATTTAAATATTATACTATAAATCTCTGTTCTTAAATTTTAAATCTTAAAACTTAAAATATTAATCTAACCTTAAATTTTAAGTAAGACTTAAGATACTATAAACTCGTATATATTAAAACATAAACTGCATATAATTAAGTATAAAATAAAATAAATTATAAAATAATCGGTCTATTATATATAATATTGTTCGGGAAAACGAAGGTGGAATTTAATGCGAAATAATTTGGACGCAT